ACACTACTCAAACTATTTCATTGTGAAAGTCATCATAGGGGACTTGGTAGAGATCTTTGATAATTTATATTTTTTTCAAATATTTTCCAATCATCTTGAATAACTTTGAAGTTATTCTTCACAAATAATGGATACGTTTGAAGAATGAGTCCTTATTTTTTTTTAATTTATAATGTTGTTTTCAAACAAAGGTAGCAATACACAGTTAGAAGTTTAGTTTCGCATTATGGCCATGGTGAATTTTTTAAATATGAAAGTTTTTGTACAATAAAATAGATTTTTAGATAATTGAAGAATAATATAGCCTTCTTAGTGGGTTTATATGAACATTTAGATTATTTTTAGCATGTTTTATAGGCAATTTTTCTGTTTGACAGTCCGTATTTTCCTATCCGTACCGCCCATAGGTTCATAGATTATTGTAGTATTTATCAACAAAGATTTTGCGCTCGATCTTTTCAATTCAATTTTATGGAAAAACGAGCAGAAATGCATATGATTTTTTTTGGACCTCTTGATAGATATATGTCTATGGATTCAGGAAAGGTATCACTGTAATTGATTGAAATTTTCCTTTGGACCAAATTTTGGAGACTTTTGTGACATGTTCACCCCCCTTTTATGCAATATTTTGTATCAAAGAAATGCAGATTGTTGCCATGGTTACACCCAAAAGAGATTATATTTCACCATTATAACCATTAGAAATCAAATCTATGGAAGATTCTCTTTCTATAAATATACACATGCATAACACAAATATTAAGCCTTATTTGTTAGAAAGGAAGGGAAAGAGGATGTTTAAAAATTATGAGTGTCAATTTTAAGTTTTTTTCCTAACTGTGTATTGCTACCTTATGGCATTTGACAAATCACAGAATTGCTTATTTTTAGACAAATCATACCACAAATCTATTGATATTTAGATTATAGATACAATTATGAGGGAGAAACATCTTTTAGTATGACAATGTATGTTACTTTTGTTGTTTATTGTCCTTAGCAACCAATATAGACATTTTGACACAAAGACTTGGTTCGGTCATAAATTGATACTTTAGTGGCTACCCCTTGGAAAAGAAACAATGCGCGTTATGTAGAAACCTCAGAAGGGAACGCTTTATATTTTTTCATGCGACTAAATCAAATTTATTATTTTAGCAAGTATAAAGTCACAATTTAGCTTGAATTAAGTCTAAATTTGTTCCGGCTGTTATAAATCAATTCAGTATTTGCTAAATATTAACCAAGGCTTTGGTATGCTAATACACAACAAAATTGACATTCTAAAGCCTTAAAATAGCTTTAACTTGTAAAATTTGTCTACTGTTAAGGTTAATTTAAGTTTTTAAACAAGAAAAGACAAGCACAGAAGGTAAAGTTTTAGAAATTTGATTAAAAAAGGAGAATTTACACTTCGACATGGCATGTTTCACCAAATCACTTTTTTGTTGCATTTCAGTGTCAACTGCTAACCTTCATAAAATATTTATTTCTGAACCAATTTTCAAAACTAGCAGGCCAATTTGCTCGTTTAAGCTAGCAGAACACAGAAATCCATTTAAAGTGGAATTGGAAAAATAAAAATGTTTATCCTTAAGGTAGCAATACACAGTTAGAAGTTTCGTTTCGCATTATGGCCATGGTGAATTTTTTAAATATGAAAGTTTTTGTACAATAAAATAGATTTTTAGATAATTGAAGAATAATATAGCCTTCTTAGTGGGTTTATATGAACATTTAGATTGTTTTTAGCATGTTTTATAGGCAATTTTTCTGTTTGACAGTCCGTATTTTCCTATCCGTACCGCCCATAGGTTCATAAATTATTGTAGTATTTATCAACAAAGATTTTGCGCTCGATCTTTTCAATTCAATTTTATGGAAAAACGAGCAGAAATGCATATGATTTTTTTTGGACCTCTTGATAGATATATGTCTATGGATTCAGGAAAGGTATCACTGTAATTGATTGAAATTTTCCTTTGGACCAAATTTTGGAGACTTTTGTGACATGTTCACCCCCCTTTTATGCAATATTTTGTATCAAAGAAATGCAGATTGTTGCCATGGTTACACCCAAAAGAGATTATATTTCACCATTATAACCATTAGAAATCAAATCTATGGAAGATTCTCTTTCTATAAATATACACATGCAAAACACAAATATTAAGCCTTATTTGTTAGAAAGGAAGGGAAAGAGGATGTTTAAAAATTATGAGTGTCAATTTTAAGTTTTTTTCCTAACTGTGTATTGCTACCAAAGGCTTCTTGGTGTACTTTCGGGCGCTTTCGAGTTGACGCAACTTTTTGTATTTGTTGTTTCTGTGTTGCAACATTTTCGTTTTGCTCTCTTTTACTTTCGGGATGCTTTAAATACAATAAGCGAAATGGCGTCTTTATGGGGACATGTATTGGTAATTGTTAGTAATATCAGATTCCATACATTTATAAGAAATGATTTACAGTTGAACCACTTTAAAGGCCTGATACTAATGATTCAGACAATATCGGTATGTGTAACAAACACGTTTTTTAGATAATGTAAAGCAAAATTACGACATAATACGTTTTAGTTGGATAGACTATCGCGGCATCGAAATATAGCAAAAGAGACTGAGCAACACGAAGCCCACCAAAAACTGGGGGTGATATCATGTGTTCCGGAAGGGTAAGCAAAGTCTGCTCCACATGTGACACTTGTCGTGTTGCTCATATTAGTACAAACCCGGTGATAAATCTAATTCGGTAGGTCATACTCAGGGAAAGGGGGATGGGATTGTAGTTACGACAATTGGAACATATCCGTTGTCATCTGTGAAACGGATATTCCATAACGGTCAACAAACTCGTGATGGCGTCCGTATTCGCGATTGATTGTCATTTCTAAAAATTGCAAGATGGGAACCTTGTGTTATATAAAGGTATACAGTATAAAAAAAGTAGATATGGTATGATTGCCAATGAGACAACTTGAAAAATATGAATCAATTCAATTGAGAAAAACAATGGCCTAATTTATAACTAAACAATTTACGAAAAACAAATATGACAGATATGAACCAACGACAACCATTGAACTACAGGCTCCTGACTTGGGACAGGCACATAAAGAATGTGGAGGGGTTAAACATGTTTGAAGGCGCCAACCTTCCTCCTTACCTGGGACAGTGGTGTAACAGTACAACTCAAGTTATTTTTCAGAGATTGCCTGTGATAATGTCCCAACTGTGTTAAACATTTTGTTATTGTTTTTGTTTTATTACACGACAGAAATGACGTCTTCTTTAAAAAAAATTAATTTAGCATTTCTCTTATTGTATGATGTAATATCTTTAAAAACATTACTATATTAAGGAATTTGGCTGCTGTTTTAAAAGTTTGTTATAAATTGACAGTATATGAACAAAGGAACTAAAAAGCAGAAATAATTAAAGGTTTGTGTCCTTGTATTTGATATAAAAGTCATTGAAGAATTGGCGGGAAATGATTTTCTCTTGATTTTTCATACACTTAACATTATCACCTATTTCCTTTCAAAACCCCTAAGGGTGACTGGGGAATAGAAATATGGTCACCATTGGTCTTCCTCCGACCGTCAGTAAAACCCTCGTCAAAGTGGGGCGTCCGTTTGGCTGTGCGGGATGTACAAATTTGCAGCCACGTCCGGTCAGAATGGGGACGTTAAATCCGATGCCTCGTGTAAACAGAGTGCCACGCTCTGTGCACGTTAAGAACCCTTGCAACAACTCTTTGAGGGGTCCGTAGGTGACCGGTTGTAAGGCTAAATTTCTGTCCCTATCCAATATACCCTCATTTCCCGTGGCAATCTAAATTTCTCCGACCTCAATCCCAGACGCCTCTATTACAGAACCTACCTATTGTATTTATTGTTAATTTGTTCTCGTCCTGAATATGCATGAAATATTTGCCACTGGACGTTAAGCAACCAACAATCAATCAATCAATCAATCAAAATCTTTTGAAAAGTTAACAAAGATTTAATAACATTTAATTAAAAAAAACACATTTTGACACTATATGTAAAATAATTATGAAAAGAAAAGGAGGGATTAGCGGGCAAAGTTTTTAATGGTATAAATAGATGAAACCAGTGGATTTTAAATATCTGACAAAAAAAAAAAAAACAAAAAAAAAAAAATCAGTGAACTTCATTAAATGCTGGCTGATAGTCGACAACATGTACCTTATCGCTATTTGTCCGCAATTACTGATCAACACAGACGTTTCCATAACATTTTGACGGCATAAACGAAAAATTCCAGATGCAACAATGCAACATTAATTGTTTTAAGACGTCAATAGTTCAAGTGTTGCAAATTCTTAGGTCAAGTGTTGCAAATTCTCAGGTCATGTGTCGCAGATTCCGAAAATGAAATACGGTCTATTTGTTTCAATCACTGTTTATTTGTCTTTGGTGGACATTTATCTCATTGGTGATCATACCATATCTCCTTATTTGTCTAAACATGTACGCACGACTTATAAACTCTAGTGTCCTGTCAGACCGAACTGCGAAACTGTGGTGTTAGTTTAGCAAAGTAACATTGCCACTGTTTATGAGTTTGTTTAGACATAATAATTACGATCAATGCGTGATTAACACCGTAACGTAGCGATTAAGTTTATTATGCATCTTTTGCTGTATCATGGTGAAATTGACAAAGAATTTTATTGAAAGATTGAATATCTATGTAATTTACTTCGTGAGTATATCTCTAAATAAAAAACGAAAAGAGAATTGTTTATTTGTCTTTGGTGAACATTTATCTCATTGGTGATCATACCATATCTCCTATACCGCTCTGATTTTCTGACATGTAAATATCACACCATAGCGTTTCACAGTACATCTTCTCTGTTTAATTTCAAAGTCAAAGTAATTCATACCAACCATTGTAAACGGTGCAGTATCTTGAGTTATCCTTTCGCTGGGCAAACAGAAAGCATGCAAATAAAAAATAAATAAAAACAAACTATTTCAACTATTTACAATTATAATACGTATATATAATATCGTTTACAGTACAATTATATTAAGATCAAATCCCACAGAGACATTTGAAAAAAATACACAGTATTAAATGGTTAAAAAAAATCATAAGGAAAATATCATGTAATATCAATTTTAATAAATAATCTGTAATGGCGCTCATTAGAAAGGTTCGAAATCAAATTATTGAGAAGTGTGTTTAGCAAATAAAAATCTTTGTTCAATTTTGGAGTGTCATAGCATATAAACCAGGAAGAAGGAAAATTTGTTTAAACAGATATTAACAAAGACGTATAGAAATTTAATAACAAATATTTATGTTTATTTCAATATCTTTAAAGTCCCTTTTATCTATTTTAAGAGTATGTGTATTTGCTTTTAAAATGTTATCAACGTTTTCAACAGGTGTCATAATCATGTAGCAGTTATAACTACTAATGTCGGGAAGTACTCCTCATTTTGGTGTTAAGAATGAATTAAAATTTTTATGATGTACTGACAACTTGATCCTATGATGAAGAACATGCAGCATCATCGTACATTTTCATGATTTCTGGTTTCATGAATACCTTAATTTGCCTTGACTTTATAGCTTATAATGTTATTAAGGATAGGACGTTAGAAACCCATCATATAACATTAATTAGGGAGGAAAAAGGCGTTATGATATAGTTTCGTAATTCTTTCCTCTGATTTTGAATCAAAGATGAAAAAAATATAGTAGATAATATACAAACCAATACAATTCAACTAATAGAAAAAAATTCAAGTTTCCAAATAAATGATTATATATGCCCCTTAAAAATGATATGACTTAAAACAAAGCAGTCCTGTGACTTTAGAAATAAACAGTTCTTAAAAGTTAAATTTTTCAAAGATGCTCCGCAAAAATAAATAAAGCATAATTATTTGCGATCTGAATTTCTCTAATGTATATTAAGTAAATATAAATATAAAGTTCATTACAAAAATATCATCTTACATTTGAACACAAGTGAATCCTAACATGAACAGTAATAAATAAAGTCAGAATCATATGTTTCTGAGGTAAAGCGTCTTCAAATTAGAATAAAGTTAAATCGACTGAACACACACGTCGGTTGCTCATACTTTGCTTTAACGATTACCCGGCTTATTTGTGTCTGTTTTCGGTCGCTAGAATAAGTTCTTTGAAAGTTCTGGATTTAGCTCAAAACCATATTAGAATTGATTGATCACCCGTTTGTTTCAGATTATTTTTAACTAAACGCAAGCGTTCACATTTATCTACTCTCGTACAGTTTTACGGCTTTACAAAGTGTGTTACTTTCAAAAAAAGTGTCAGCATTTTGCTCCAATCTCATTTACACTGACACTGTTTTCACATGTATCCATGGAAGATGTTGATGTTGATCCGGTGGTGGTCGACTTTGGTGAAGAAGGTGATTCTGAACTTTTCCGTGAACTCCAAATTGGACAGTTAAAAGTGACAAGTTCTTTCAAATGTTGCTTAAATTGATTATCAAAAACTCCATATATAAACGGATTCACTACATGATTAACAACGTAAAGACGCTCAGCAATTTTAAGAAAAGAAAAAGCACCAGTGCTTAATTCTTCTTCCGCTATCATTTTCCGCGTTGTTTGGAGAACAAAGACTGGAATGTAGCTTAAAGCAAACACAAGTGAAATGGCAAAGGCAATCTTTGTCATCTTACTTGAAATGGATCTCGGAATACCATTACCATGCATTTCCTTTCTCCGGTGTGTTTGAGTATACATTTGTCTGCCGATCATGGAATAGATAAATATCAAAACTATTGTATAAAGTACAAACAAAGATAGAAATCCATAGCTAAAAGCGGTATGATAAATAGACGGATTTGAGAGAGATATCGCACAAGTAGTGCCAGTTAAATTTTGACCAATGTCTATTCTTCTAAATTTGGATAGGGCAAACTGTGGAGACGAAAGTACAACAGAAATTCCCAGGCAAGCAACGACCCAGTAATTTACATTTCTTACAGTCAGTTGTGATTTTAGTGGCATGCATATTTTCCGAAATCTGTGGATGGATAACAACATCAAAAGATGTGTGGAATATAACAAGAGAAGATAAAGCATTACGACGAACACGACACACGCCCATTCTCCTTGAAAAGAATAATAGTGAACAACACGTGCTATGTTAAACGGTATCCCTACTGTGCAGAATATCTGATCTGCAATAGCAAGATTCCAAACTATAGTCCTATAAACACTTTTAGTATATTTTCGTCCATATATTATAAGTACTGTTAAATTTCCTGGTATTCCAACAATCAGCATAATAATCAGAAATATAGTAGGTCCTAAGAGTCTCTGGAAGTTCTCATCATTGAGTTGTTGTATAGTTTTCGCCGTATTGTTTTTCATATTCTCATCCATTTACGAAGAAATCGCTTCAGACTAAAACAATGTTTGTGTTCAGTAGTTTGAAGATTGAAGTATACGAAGGATCTGTCAAATATCCTGGATTTTCCAGTGACTGGAAGAGGAAGTATTTTGTTCAGTCAAGTGTGAAGAAACTTCCATATTGAAGATTACTATGTTGACATTAATAAAGGTAGATAAATGTAATTCTTATACTCGACTATGATTTAAAAGTTTTAAAAAGCTAGTGAACCGTACCTGTGTGTCAAAAGATCGAACTGTTCTTGTATGTTCGCTACTGTTGAATGTCATTTATTGGGTATTTAAAAATAAAACATAATTTTTGTTATTTAAAACATAGTGATGATAGAAATGTACCCGGAGAGATGTATTATCATGCTTCGTTAATTTCGTCCCTACAAACTTTTTACGGTGATGAGTTATTCGAAAGTTAGCGGTTTAGCATCATTCATAAGCGTTGATATACGGTATCTTTCCCTGAACTATGCTATATCACTTCTTATTATTAACAAATTTGACCCTTACCATCCTACAGGCAAAACTGGACAGAAATTCTTAAAATACAGCGGACCAACGTTGGTTAATATCTGCTAAAAATACCAAAAGAAAAACAACAGTGTATTGACTTGATATAATAAGTAAAGGACAACGCTTAGAAACGGGGAAAATGTGAGCCTTCGCAGAACATTTTTTCCGATTCTTGCTGAATCATTCAATAACAAAAGTCGATATCGTTTCGCTCGAGTCTAGCTACCAAAGATTTGCCATTCAGAGTAAATAACACATTTTTAGAAAAAAATAACTCAAAAGACGAATGTCACAACCCTCCCAATGTCATCTCGATATGAGTAATAGCAAATAGTTCATAGGAAAGCCTACATATGAATATCAATTAAAAAAAGGACTTAACTCTACAATACCGGGAGTAAATATTATAAAAATACTATGATACGTTATAAACAATGCTTATTTATATCGTATTGAAAATGTTAACATAAAATGAAAACAAACTCAGAAACGTTAGGAAAAATTAAGAAACACACGACCTTGTGCAATATCGAAGGTAAAATTCCGTAAAGAATGTCATAATACAAAAAGAAAATAGATGGAACATTTAAGCTGTGTTTTCAAATGTCGATATGTGACTTGATATTTATTCCCCAAATTAAAACTTGGAGCAGTATACTACTTGTTATCAACTTCTCACAGGTAGAGTCATATTTCCACAATATATCTCTGTGATGAATTTTAATAGTATTTTACAATTTATCATACATATATATTCCTGTTGTAAAACGTGATTGATAAATTCAAATAGTTTTTGACGATTTATCCTTCATATAGATTCCTGTTGTAAAATCTATAATAAACATAGAGTGCATTTATTGCTAACACAAACGATACAAACGGCTAAGCGCGCACATGTTTTGATCATTCGTTTCTAACATACGTTTGCAAAGTTTAACTTTGACAAACTATGCACTCGCTAAAACTGCGTCTACATTCCATATGAATTTGAATGTCCGCTTGGTGTCTTTCGCTTTTCATTTTCTACGCTATCGACACGAAGAGAGAACAGAAAACTCTTCCTAAAACTTTTGAGGGGTCCGTAGGTGACCTGTTGCAAAGCAAAATATCTGCCCCTATCCAACATTCTTCTGTCAATCAAAATTCTAACCCTTATTCCCAGTTGACCCACTGCATGAAACTACCTTTTGGATTTATTGTTAAGAAGTATTGGCAATTACCCTTATTTTTTAACATTTTTTTTACACCAGGGCCAACTTAAATTTTTTTTCCATAATTTACACAAAAGCTTTATGTGTGTTTTTTAAATCTCTTACCGTAACAACATTAAGGCGTTTTAGCAATTCATGAATGCCTAAATATGGCAATATTGATAGATTTTGGCACAAATTTTATAGGAATTATTTAAAAAATGTAGAAAAAGGACATTATTAACTTGGAAAAAGTAAAATAACAAAAATACCGAACTCCAAGGAATACTAAAAACGGAAAGTCCCTTAACAAATGGCAAAATCGAAAACTCACACACATAAAACGAATGGAAAACAACTGTCATATTCCTGACTTGTTACAGGCATTTCCTTATGTAGAAAATGGTGGATTAAACCTGGTTTTATAGCTAGCTAATCCTCTCACTTGCATGACAGTCTCATGAAATTTCATTATAGTAAAGATGTGGTTTGTCTTTTAGATACACATTAATTCGTATTGGTTTAAGATGTCCTTCGATACACAATTTCATACAGCATGTAAAATAGGAGATATTGTATCAGGAAAGTATACAACAACAAGGCTGTATATGGCTGAATAACAATTTGATTTTATGGATATCTAGATCTGTAAAATTACAAAAAATGTATTGTCAATTATTTGATTTGTTTCAAATAAACTATTCCAGTAAGTTTTGATAACTTTCAAATTTTGAATATGAGAGTGACACTAAAACAGGGGAAATAAGCCCTACCTCAGTATTCTCGTTTTGAGTATGTATGAAATATAGGCCACTGGATGATAAGAAAACAGACATCAATCAATTTATTCATAGTTATAGTATCAAACGCTGTGTCATTGGCATCTAATATACAAGATCTCTTTAAAGTATATGGTAATGTTTTTTTGCCATTCTTTTTAATACAATCATCTATTCAAATTACATTTCCAATAAAATAAATCAAGTTTATAGTGAATAGTAGTTAAAGCTCTTCAACTTCGTATTTGATTTCGACTTCCAACTGTTTGTTTTGATTGGAGCGGCACTGACGAGTCTTATGTAGACGAAAAGTGCGTTTGGCGTACCAAATTATAAAAGCCTGGTATGGTTGATGAGTTTTTACATTTGTTTGTTAATCCGTTCTTCCAAAACCCAACAGTTGCCCGGTGATTATAGATTGAGCTGTATTGTATGTTTGTATGGGTACACCATTGAGTAACATAATTTAATATTGATGTTTCTGATGACGCATTATTCATTTAAAACAGATATGGACAGAAAAAAATAATGAAAGAAGGGGACATTCATGTCTTTCCAACACATTCTATGTTACTATTACACTGAACTTATATCATCCCTACATTACAAATTGGGCGATCATGACCTGGTGATTGTGTCACAATTATAGCAAACATATTTTCCTATGTGCTTACGTCTGTTTACAAATTTTGATCCTGGTTCTACCGAATTTGACTTATTATGAACTTTGAACACTCCGTCATAGGACAGATGATGCATGAAAATCTGGATAAATACTGCAATTAATATCACTTCCGGTTTTGATGGATGTTCGTGATTACAAATTACTCAGGGTATATCTCTTTTTTTCTGTAAACTTTGAAGTTTTGCTTTTTATCTTCCTCGCTTTGTGATGTCTTTAGGTTTCCAGTTTTGGTTTGGAATTTTCTTCCTGAAGCTTCGTACAATACGTTATAATACTTGAGATTCTTGCAAATTGCAAGATTTTGGTCGTTTTAATGAATGATAAAATCGCTGGATACGATGCTTAAAATTAATGCCGTGTTAGAGGGTTAGAAACCGTCAAAAATCCTTTCTTCACTACTTGAAGCATCAAATCCCTTTTTTTGCTACCGTAAGAGCTAAACTGTCTCTTTTCGCTATATAGCAATATCGTTAATCATCATATGAGGAACTCCGTTTCTAGCCTCCTGTGATGACTTATCATCTGACCAATAAAGCTTGAAAAAAACCAAGTATAATGAATTCTTTTCTCTCCTTTTTTTATCAGAAAATACTAGCTGGTGAAATGTTAATATTTGTCAGTTAATTTATCTGCCCAACCTTTTCTTAAATTTGTTAAGAGCAATAAGTATTGTTTTCTGCAATTCTAACTAAGTTATGTAATTATAAGTTGCAAAATGTATATGATTTCTTTACTTTAAGGATTGATTATGTTGTATTTCTAGTCAAACAGTTACGTATTGAAATAATTCTAAATGCTTAATCTACCGAATGACGTTTAATGATTATTGATGCACGATCTATTACACACACGTGATGAACACCAAACTAATTCTTCCTACAAAAAAAAAAAACAAAAAAAAAAAAAAACAATTTGAACGATTTTGTTCATTTCAATGTCACTTTTAAAGATCTTTCCTGATTTTCTATATGATTTCTACCTACGTATTAAACTTATCAAACACAATTTGATTTTAAGGAAGCTCCAACTTGGTAAATAGGAATTGTTTGTTGTTTACGACTTCTCAATTACCCATCCTCAAATTATTGGCATTTTTTGAATCGGCAACTTGAGCAGTCATTTAAATTATTTGAGCATCAACAGTAATGTTTATATATAAATATAAAATAGACAAAGACATGCATGTGTATTAAAGCGGCGAAAGATACCAAAAGCATAAGTCAAAAATAAAAAGACAACGCCTTTGCAAAAAAAAAAAAAAAAAATGAAAAAGATCAAAAGACTAACAACAGTACACAAAACACAACATAAAAAACTAAAAAAAAAACCCACCAAAAACCGGTGGTGATCTCATGTGCTCCGGTGATAAGTCTCATTCGGTAGGTCACATTCGGGGAAAAGAGGATATGTGTTTAACAATTGGGTCTTTAATCTATGTTACCCAAAAATTCTTTGATAACATATAATGTATTTGAATTTTCGTTCCTGCTTCATTTTGTCCTCTATGTCCCTGCTTGGTTTTTTTTGTTGGGTTGCTCTCGCATTGACGTATAACCTATATCTTCTTTTATTAATATCACTGTAGTTAAATTCTAATTTTAAAACAGTATAAAAAAAGGAGATGTGGTATGATTGCCAATGAGAAAACTAACCACCAGAATTTAAATAAGTGGATATAACCAATTATAGGTCACCATATAGCCTTCAACAATGAGAAAAACCAAAACCGAATGGGTTCGTATTGCTCAGTCTTGTGTTTTGTATACTGTTGTTTGTCTTTTGGTCTTTTCGTTTTTAGGCATGGTGTTGTCAATTTATTTTCGACTAATGAATTTAAATGTCCGTTTTGGTATCTTTCGCCTCTCTTCTATAAAAGGCTCCGACATGTAAAAATATGAAACAATTCAAACGAGAAAACGACCGGCCTAATTTATAACAAACAAATTTACGAAAAACCAATATGACAGACACGAACCAACGACAAAAGCTGAACTACAGCCTCCTAAATTGGGACATGCACATATATAATGTGGCGGGGTTAAACATGTTTGTAAGCGCTCAACCCTCCAAG